TTCTGCATCCACAAGGATTCGAACCCGAGACCTTGCTTAAGCGACATCAAGCTGTTTACCACTTGAGCCAACCCCTGTTGGTAAAATCTAACTCAACTTTAACTCAACTTTACTATCTGCAATAGGTAAAATTGCATTTTGTGCCCTGTAACTATACATGTGTAGCAAATGTGGACAACTTCTTTTTGATTTGGCAAAAGTGCCCCAAAACTTGTTAAAACCCAGAATTCGTGCCTATTTACCTACAAGTTACTGGATTTGACCGGTTTTTCGTGTGACAAAACAGGACTGTAACTTGTTAAAATTCAAAATTTGTGCCCAAATTGGGTACGAATTTCTGGTTTTAACAAGTTTCAGGGCACTTTTGCCAAACCAAAAAGAAGTTGTCCACATTTACCACACACTCCTAGTTACGGGGCATAAAATGCAATTTTGCCATCTGCAATATTATCAATATAATTAAATAATATCAATTAATTATTTTTAAACATAACATCAATTTTAATTTATTATTCACTCACTTACATAATTTTAACTAACCATCATTATTTAGTGGATATATTTATATCCAAGCACGCCCTAAGACTCGTTAATTCTATATTATACTATTTTTTCAACTACTCTTCCAATTCGTATAGTTAAAGTTAAACATGCTTGATAGATGAATTATTAATTTTCAATGACCATTGATAGATAATAACTTTATGTATTTAATAACAATTTCAAATAAAAATCCATCAAATGATGATCAATATGATAAATTATATATTAAATTTTTACGACAATTAAAAAATTAATAAGTTTTACAGCGTGTTTATAATCTAAATTAGCCCAAAATTAAGAGAAGTGAATAAGAATAAAAATTAACATGAATTACTCCGAATCACAAAGCACTAATACATAAATTTACGGACCATTAATAAAAATCAATAAATGAAATCATAAAATATTATTAATTAATATATGAACTTCATACTAATGGCTAGAGATGTTAAACGGGCTAGCCCTAGCGGGGTTCGGGTTAAACGGTCCGGCCTAAAAAGCCCGGATTTAAATGGGCTACCAATAAAAGGATTTAATCCTAACCCTAGCGGGCTTGGGGCTAAACGGGCTTTAATAATAATAATAATAATAATAATAATAATAATAATAATAATAATATATCAAAAAATATCAAAAATAAAAAGAAAAAAAACTATAAAAAATTACAACGACTAATTAACGATTGTTTTCAACGGTATTTATTATTTGTTGTTCTATATATACAACTACACATCATATATGAACACATACTACAAACTCTTAAATAGCATTTTTTTTTTCAAAAGAAAAAAATATTCGAATTATTACTTACAATTACCATTTCACTACTTATATTTTGTACGCTTTGGAAATTTTTACGATATTATATCACTATAAATTATATCATTATGTTTAATGTGTTAGGTCTTTGTCATATGTTTCCTATTAGTCGTTCTGATTGAGTTAAATATTTTGGTGTGGAGTACAATAAGAATATTGTTAATAATTATCTTTCAAAATCAATATAATCCGTTACAACTCATACTTATATGTGAAGTGGTATAACAAAATTTTAATATACAATGAATCTAAGAGTATATTACTTACTTGCTGCAAATATTTACAACGCCAAACTCAAGTTAAACGGGCCAGCCCTAGCGGGTTTCGGGCTAGCCTTAACGGGCTTCGGTTTAAACGATTCGGGCCTAAAAAGTCCTGATTTAAAAGGGCTACCAATAAAAAGCCTTAACCCTATTTTTTTCCGGGCTAAACGGGTCTGCCCGTCGGGCAAAGGACCGTTTAACATATCTACTAATGGCTACCCCATGCACAGAAAAATAAATAAAGGTACGTGTTTTTACTTCAAACTTCAAAAAAATACACGCACAAAAAATAAATAAATAAATAAACTACCCTTCAT